TGGCGCGCTCCCTGTCTCGTCCTCTGGCGCGGTTCCCTGGCTTGTCCTCCGGCGCTTCCTCTGCCCGTTCCACGGCGCGTCCCTTGTCGCGTCCCTTGCCGCGTCCACTGGCGCGTCCCGCAGGGCGTCCGCCGGCATGGCGTCCCCCTGGCACGCCCTCTGCCACGCTCCCGCGGCACGCCTGCGCCGCTTGCAAAGAGGCTGGTGGCCCTGCGAGTGCGGACGCAACCGAATTTACTGAGGAACGGGGCGCGCGGACACAGCGTAATAGGACCGTCGTCGTCGTCGTCGTCGCCGTCGTCGTCGTCGTCGTCGTCGTCGTCGTCGTCGTCGTCGTAGTCGCTGATATCGTCGTCACCAGCTTCACTCGTCCTCTCGAGTCGTGGATCTGTGTGAGCTTGGTCTGCGCGCCATTGTGCCTGTCGAGATTCGCCAGTACGCTCCGATGGGTAACGGCACTCACGCCCTCCTGAGTCTCGCCGGGGAGCTGCGGGCGGTTGGGTTGGATGTTTGTTCGAGCACTTGACGTGGTCACGCACGGACGCCGGGGTCGAGGGTTTTCAGGCCCCCCCTCTGCAGATGGGTCCAAGGGTTGCACACAGGCCCTCCCCGCCCAGAGGGGATGGGGGAGGCGACGACGACGACGACGACGCCGACGACGACGACGACGACGACCACGACGACCACGACGATGACGACGACCACCACGACGACGACGACGACGACGATGACGAACCACCCCACACCCACAAGGGGGAGGGGGTTGCTCCGGCACCCACCACCACGCCACGCCCGGAGGGCCACGACCACAGGGAGGAGGGGCGATCCCATCCGTGAGGATTTCGCGAGGCTCGCGGGCGCACCCCTATGCAGCGGGGGAGGAGGGGCCGATCCCATTAGCATTGGGGGGGGGGTTGGCAGAACCCTGGATAATATGGCATCGCTTCCATTGCACCCCGCAGCTTGTACCACATGGCGGGCACCATACGGATTGCATCTCGCAGATGGCACCACACGTGCTGCACCACCAGGGTCATCATGAAGGATGCTCGACCCAGCCCTCATGCCGAGGCCAGACTTGGCGGCACCCTCCGCATGTTGTCTTTACATGCTCAGTGTGCACGGTCATTCATTTCAGATATGACACTTGAGATCCTTCCAGCCAAACCAATTTCCGATCCGCCCCTCATCCCTGTCAAATATTAGTATGCGGAGCACCCGTTTACATATTTCATGTGCGTGTCCAGTGAATCCGTATCAGCAGTTGATATGCGTGCCACACGCGCGCGCACATGTCAACTCTCGTCCAAAACTAACGTATCTCACACGAGCCATGACGCTTTGGAGCGAAATCCAGAGCCCTGTGAGCGCGCAGTCCATGAAATGAGACCGCTTTCTGGCCGGTGCCGCCGACCCTGAAGGGGGACGAATACCACGACGGCGGCGACGACGCTGACGTGGGGCAGAGTGTCTGGCCGCTTTCTGGCCGGTGTCGGCGGCGACGACGACGCTGACGTGGGGGCAGAGTCCTCAGGGATGCCTCGTGGGGCCTTCGGAGAGCACTCGTAGGCCTCCTTGGGGCAGGCGTGGGGCCTCTTGAGAGCATCCTGGGAGCCTCTTGAGAGCCGCCTGGGGGTCTCTTCGGGCTTCCTGGGGGCCTCTTGAGGGCCTCGTGGGGACCCCTTGGGGGCCTCTTGGAGCCTCCTGGGAGCTTCTCGCGGCCGAGGGCTCGAAATGTTCGTCCGGGCTCCCGTGTGGGCACCCCCTGGGAGCTGTTCTGGGAGCATCTTGGACCGTCTGGAAGGCCTCCAGGGCCGCCTTCGGGCCCTCTTGGATCGTTTTGGGGTCGTCTTTGCCGATGTTGGTGGCATTTTGGGCCGATTTGGGCAGAATCCACCGTTTCAGGTTCCGGAATCACCTGGAACGGTTCCGGGGTGATTTGGTAGCTTGACCCAACCGTTTCGAGTTCTGGGATCACCCTGGAACGGTTCCGGGGTGAAAATCCATCTGGGACCTCCCGACATTGGGCGGGAGAGGGCCCAGCCACGAGAACAATTCTTCCAATAAGAGGTTTCATTTGGAGGTTTCCCCGAAAGGCGGCCCATAAGGCTCCTGAGAGCGCCCAGATGGAAAATTACCCGTTTCAGGTTCCAATTTTCACCCCGGAACCGTTCCACGGTGATTCTGGAACCTGAAACGGGTCGATGCCTGGGGCGTCGGGAAGCCGAAAAGACGAGAACTCCAGAATCTTTCAAACACCCGGAGGAAATCATTGAATTTTGCCTGTTGGGGCCCTCTTGGTGTGCTCTTGGAGGCCTCTTCAAGCGTCTTGGCAGCCTCTTGGGATGTCCGGATGCCATCTCTGACGTCTTGGACCGATTGTTCGGCGATTCGGGGCTCTCTTGGACCGTCTTGGGGACCTCTTGGGCTGTCTTGGGGCCTTTTGGGTTCCAGGACATCCATGGGGAGGGTGGCATTCTGACCTGAGACCCCCTCCAGGACCCCCCCAGGACCGCCCCTGGGACCTCCCCAGGACTCCCCCCTCGATCGCCCCCCCCCCTACACCCCTCCCCGGAGGGAAAGGAGCTTCCCTTCGACTCAACAACGACGTTGCTTGATTTCGCTTTGGTTTCGCTTTGGCTGGCTCGCTTTAGGAGGAGGGCCCAGGGAAAAGGGGGGAGGCGGCGATGGGCCCAGGGAAAGGAGGGTCAAACGGAACGGCGACGGCGACGACAAAGACAAGGACGACGACGACGACGACGACGACGAAGGCGACAAGGACGACACCGCGGACGCCGACGCCGACGCCGACGCCGACGACGACGACGCCAACCACGACGACGACGCCAACGACAACGACGACGCTGACTACGACAACGCTGACGACGACGAAGGCGACGACGACGATGACGACGACGACGACGAAGACGGCGACGAGGACGATGACGACGACTACGACGACTACGACGACGACGACACGACGAGGACGAGACGACGACGACAACGACGACGACGAAGGCGACGACGACGAAAGGACGACGAGATGATGGCAACGACGACGACGAAGACGACGACACGACGACGATGACGACGATGAGAACGACGACACGACGACGATGACGACGGCGACGACGACGAGCGGACGACGAGATGACGACACGACGACGACGACGACGACAAGGACGACACCGCGGACGCCGACGCCGACGCCGACGCCGCCGCCGACGACGACGACGACGTTAACGACAACGACGACGCCAACGACAACGACGACGCTGACGACGACAACGCTGACGACGACGACGAAGGTGACGACGACGATGACGACGACGACGACGACGACGACGACGGCGGCGACGACGACGACGACGACGACTACGACGACGACGACGACGACGACGACGACGACACGACGAGGACGAGACGACGACGACGACAACGACGACGACGACGAAGACGACGACACGACAACGATGACGACGACGAGAACGACGACACGACGACGATGACGACGGCGATGACGACGAGCGGACGACGAGATGACGACACGACGACGACGACGACGACGACGACGACGACGACGACGACGACGACGACGACGACGACGACGACGACGACGACGACGACGACGACGACGACGACGACGACGACGACGACGACGACGACGACGACGACGACGACGACGACGACGACGACGACGACGACGACGACGACGACGACGACGACGACGACGACGACGACGACGACTACTACTACTACTACTACTACTACTACTACTACTATTACTTCTACTACTACTACTACTACTACTACGACTACTACTACTACGACTACTACTACGATCACGGCGACGTCGAGTCTATCAGAACGGCGTCTTCCACACGCCGACTGGGTCGGTGGGCTTGCCATTATGGTCAACGGGAGCATGCGGGCCACGCGCGCTTGTTTCGAAACCATTCAGCAGTCATTGTGCGCCTGCCATGTCTGCCAAATAACAAAAAGCGGGACGCACCCGCGCGTCCTCGCGCACACATGTCGAACTGCAAAGCTTGTCGGAATCTTGCAGTTCAACATAGGTGCCCGAACAAACGTGGAAAACACAATGGTGTTGCAATAGAAGTACGTCGGAGTCTTTGCACGCGCGCACTTCCTCATCATCCCCATCAGCGCCATCCTCATCACCATCATCGCCAGAATCATCATTGATATTACTATCACCACAGTCGTCTTCATCACCATCGACGTCGTCGTCATCACCACCGCCACTATCATCACGGGTACCATCATCATTATCCTCATCCGCCTTACCATCACCATCACCATCATTACCATCACTATTGACATCGTCGTCGTCATTGTCATCGTCGTCATCGTTCTCGTCATCGTCGCTACCACCATCACCATCATCACCATCGTCGTTGCCGATGGTCCCGTCGCCATGTCGGCTCAGGCCAGCTGGGAGTGGGGCGCGTGATCCCCTCGGGCTGGCAGCCGCCGATGATCTAGGATACCTTAACAGTCTTCAGCGGGAGTGTCTCTTCCACGAGGGGCGAAAAAAGGCATGCACGTAAACTTTCGGAGCTCCGCGCGGATTTCTTGGACCCGCGCTGGGTACCCCTGGCCGCGCCCTCGCCTCCGCCCCTGTCGCGCTCCGCGCGCCATGGCGGGGGGTCCCAGCGCCGATCCAGGAAATCCGCGTGGACCTCCGAGGGTTTGTGCTTGATGCGTTGTCTCTTCTCCCGACCCTCGACGAAACTGCCGTGTGAACAGATGCCGTCGACGGTCCGCGCGGATTCCTTGGGTCTGCGCTATAGGCCCCCCTGGCGGCGCCTCCGTCGCCGCCCCTCGCACGCTCTGCTCGCGCCAGAGAGGGGGGCCACGGCGCCGATCCAAGACATCCGCGTGGACCTCCGAACGTTTTTCTGTTTCGTGCAGGTGTTTCTTCGTCCGGTTCTGTCGTCCGGGGAGCCAAGCCAGCAGCGGCCGATCCCCGCGGGGGAATGGTGGTGCAGGGGGCGTTCCTGGCGAAGGATGGGCACGACGCGGAGGCCGAGGGCGAGGCTGGCGGGGCAGGCATCGTCGCGATGCTGACGAAGCCCCCGCTGGTGTACGTGGTGGCAGCCCTGATCCTGCTCTGCGTGCTGACCGCAGTGTTCCAGAGGTACAAGGATCGGCGGCGAGCACGGGGGGGCAAGCGAGAAGGGGCGGGCCTTCTCCGGAGGCTCGGGAGGCCCCCCCTGGCCTTCTGAGAGGATATCTACGCCGTGGTAAGTGATGGGAGGGAGGGGTAGGACGTCAGATATAACGCGAGCGCACTTAGCTTGCCCCCCCCCCACGTCCTCCTCCTCCTCCTCCTCCTCCTCCCCTCCTCTCCTCCTCCTCCTCCTCCTCCCTCCTCCTCCCCTCCTTCTCCTCCTCTCCTCCTCCTCCTCCTCCTCCTCCTCCCTCCTCCTCCTCCTCCTCCTCCTCCTCCTCCTCCTCCTCCTCCTCCTCCTCCTCCTCCTCCTCCTCCTCCCTCCTCCCCCTCCCCTCCTCCTCCTCCTCCTCCTCCTCCTCCTCCTCCTCCTCCTCCTCCTCCTCCTCCTCCTCCTCCTCCTCCTCCTCCTCCTCCTCCTCCTCCCCGAAAGGAGGAGCTGAGCCCGTACTTGTTCGGGCTGCTCGATTGTTGCGCGGGCTGCGCCCGAGGCCTCACGGCAGGCGGGCAGGGCTGCTGCTACGTCGCCAAGCGTTGCTGCTACCCCGTCAAGGAGAGCGTCTTCTTCTGCGTCGACAAGTGTGACAGGTCTAGGGCGAAGGGGGCCCGAACGCATCCTCAGAGGAGGACAGGGCACACACCCGTACCTCTGCCCTTCCCTCGTTTTCCCCGTGCTGGGCCTCCTGGGCGGTCCTCGTCGCCACCGCTGGATCCGCCTCGAAATGCTGGCGAGAACGCCCCCCGGGCGAGGTCCAGGGAGTAGCGGTAGCGGCACCTCTTGGTTCCCCCCACATCCGCTGCCCCAGCCAGCCCAGGCCCATCCTGGGTTCGGGAGCGCCTGAGGCGTCGCTCGGGCGCGCGCCTGCTTCCCCCCCGCAGGGACCGTGGAGGAGCATCCCGGGTCACCTCGGGAGGAGAAGTCAGCGCACGGCATCGAGCAGGGCGCGGAGAGTTGACGTCCGCGCGCCGCGCGACGGCGAGGGGGGAGGCAGGTGCACCGACCCTGACCCCAGGCTGGGCCTCGCCCGGGTCGAAGAAGAATCTCTCTCTCTCTCTCTCTATATATATATATATATTTGCACGAATATGAACAAGGCCATTCGTAAACAGAAACTTTTGGCGCTCCGCGCGGATCTCTTGGATCTGCGCTGGACCCCCCTCGCTGGCGCACGGAGCGCGCCGGGGGCGGCGCGGATCCAAGAGATCCACGCGGAGCGCCAAGAGTGCATGCTCATGGCGCTCGTTCGCCTTCTTCCGCCGGGGGCCGCGGCTCTGTGCAGGCCTTTGTCGCCTCGCGAGGTGCCTCCACCCTCACAAGGACAAGGCGAAGAAGATGCAGGCCGACGCCCCGACCTTCCACTTCTGAGGCCGCCCCCGGGCCAGCGGGCCCGGGCCCTGCGCGCGCGCGCGCCACTCGCGCCGACCAGGCCCCAGCCCCGCAGAAGTCGCGAAGAGGATCACGACGACGACGACGACGACGACGACGACGAGGACGGACGACGACGACGACGACGACGACGACGAGGACGAGGGCGAAGACGAGGACGAGGACGGACGACGACGACGATCACGACGACGACGACGACGAGGACGAGGACGAGGACAACGGACGACGACGACGATGACGACGAGGACGGACGACGAGGACGGACGACGACGATCCTCCTGGGGCAGCGCGCCAGCAGTCGCTCGAGCGCCTTCCCGCGCGCTGACGGACTCGGCCCCGGCCACGCGCCCTTGGCTCGGATTGAGGCAGGCTTGCAACAACATGTCGTCGTTGCCGATGCCGCCGTCGCCATCATCACTGGCTCGGCCGAGCCGGAGATCTGCATGGGAGGGTCCATGCGTCATTGGCGCATGCGGAGATTTACCAACAAGTTCCGATGGGTAGCTTCACTCACGGCCTCTGGAGTTTTGCAAACAAGATGCGGGTGGGTTTGGGAGGGTGGGATGTTTGGTCGTGTATGGGAGGTGCTCGTGCACAGAAGCCCACAGTATTGCGCCACATCATAGGGTTTCCTCTTAGAAGAAGAACAGACTCTACCACCCTCCCGAGCCCAGACTTATCGCCCCCTCCCCCTCTGGGATATTGCAATTTAGATAGGGCTCTGCCTCATCTTCCCCATATGAAGTCATATCACTCCAGCCACTCCAGCCCCCGTCATCCATGTTCAATCATACAATGCGCGCGCACTCGTTGATCCCAAATGTGATGCTGCAAGAGCCCCCATGCAACAAACTCCATACAGTCCACAAAGTCCATTTTGGCAATCTCGTCTAGACCCCGCATTCTCACCTCTTCGCGCTGTACATCCATGTAGGGCTAGCATGCGTCCGGTGCACGATTCCCTATCACAGAACACCATGCGGGCTACATGCGCGCGCCGCCACGCGCGCGCGCCCGAGTCTTCCCAAAACCCTCGGTGTCCGAAGCACTCCAAGATAGAGTTTGTCAACAGCACAAGACAAAATACGAGTTCTCCAACATACCTGGCAGATGTATTCAATTTATGCGCGCGCGTACTTCCTCATCACCCTCATCAGCGCCATTGCATCACTGGCGTCATCGTCATCTTCAATCTTCGCCATTGCCGCCATCAGCAGCACAACCACCTTCATCATCGACATATGGACATCATCATCACCAGTATCATCACCATAATCATCACCATCATCACCACCACCAACAATTTCATCACCATCACCCTCACTTTCATTATCCTCATCATCACCATCATCACCATCATCAGCATCATCTGCATCATCATCACCATTACCATCATCAACAGCATCATCATCGTCATCGTCATCGTTTTTGTCATCGTCATCGTCATCGTTATCATGATTATCATCGGCACCGTCATTGGTCTTGCCGTTGTCATCGCAATCATCGCCCCTTCCATTGCTTTCATCATCATAGTGAGGGGGCCGAGCGGTCATTCATTGTCCCTGGGTGCGTGGCTGAATAGGGAACTCGTGGTGAGAATTCTGCTTGTTGCGTTGTTGTTGAATTCTCATTTCTGAAGAATAATTATTGTTGATCCCCCCTCACCGGTGCATACTGTCTTTCCTCAATCAAAGTGTGCCCCTCCACGCTCGCACCCTGTTCTTTGACAGGGGAAAGTCTCGGTGCTCAAACTGTGCCCCTGGCCCCCCGGATTACAACAACAACAACAACAACAACAACAACAACAACAACAACAACAACGGCTCCCGCCTGAGACTTCCTCCAAAATTACTCAGAACCCCCCCTCCTGAGACTTCCTCACAATTTACTCAGGATCGGTGCTCCCGCTTATGACTTCTTCGCAATTTGGTCAGGACCCCCGCTCCCATCTGAGACTTCCTCACAATTTACTCAGGAACGGCGTTCCCGCTTGAGACTTCTTGCAATTGAATCAAGACTTCCTCGCAATTTAATCAAGACCCCCGCTCCCGCCAGAGAACCCTTCACATTTTATCCAGGAATTGCGCTCTCGCCTATGATGACTTCCATACAATTTATTCAGGAATCGCGCTTTCGACGCTCAGGAAACACGACGCCGTTACAATTTACTTAGTAATCGCGCTCTCGCCATACTCAGGCATCCCGGTTGAATGTCCCACCCGTCCGACCCGCCCGTCAGGGGATCGCCCGCCCGTTGTGGGCTCCCGCTCGAGACTTCCTTCAGGAACGTCGCTTTCGCTTAGGACTTCCTCGAACGTTCACGCTCTTAGCTTCCTGCTCCTCCTCCCTCTCCCTCCTCCCTTCTCCCTCCTCTCCTCCCTTCTCTCTCCCTCCTCTCTTCCCTCATCCTTATGCCTCTCTGCCCCATCCCCTCTCCCTCCTCTCCTCCCTTCTCCCTCCCCTCTCCTGCCTCCTCCCTCCCTCTTTCTTTCTTTCTTTCTTTCTTTCTCTCTCTCTCTCTCTCTCCCCACTCTCTCTCTCTCTCTCTCTCTTTCTACCTCTTTTTTTGTTTCTTTCTCTCTCTCTCTCTCACTCTGCCTCTAATCAACCGCCCCCTTCTTCGCTCCTTCTCTCCTGGCGTTTTCCCTCTTCCTTCCTCCCTCCCCCTCCCTTCCTCCCACTCTCCCTCGTTCTCCCCCTCTTTTTGCAGGGCCCACACCAATTCCAATGGCGGGCACATGTACGCCCACGAAGGATTGTCCGCCCGTTCAGGTTTGCCCGCCTGTCTAAGCCCGCCGCCCCCCACAAAGAGAAAGAATCCCCCCCAAGGGGGTGTGATCTAAGACAATAAAGGCCGGGTGTCGAGGGTGTGGGGAACTCGTTTTGAATGACACCCGGGCAAGTAAGAGCGAACAGTCTTAGAATGATTGTTGTTGTTGCTGTTGAACTCTCATTTCCGAAGAAAAATGATTGTTGATCCCCCCCGTCCGGTGCACATTGTTTTTTCGATTGAAGTGCCCCTCCCGGTGGCTCGCACTTTGTTTTTTATTAGGGAAAGTCTTGAGGGTCAAACTGCGTTGTTGGCCCCCGGTTTACAACGACAGCGGCTCCCGCTTGATACTTCCTGACAATTTATTGAAACTCGCGCTCTCGCTTCGGACGTCCTTCCAATTTACCACCGGATCGCGGCTCCCGCTTGATATTTCCTCACAATTCATTGAAGAATCGCGCTCTCGCTTGGGACTTCATCGCAACTTACCACCGAATCGCGGCTCCCGCCTAATATTTCCTCACAATTTATTCAGATGCCGCTCTTCGACGCTCAGGAATCGCGCTCCCGCTATATTGCCTGGCGGTTCAAGCTGAATTTCCGTTTCAACGACCCGCCCGCTCGACCAGCCCGTCTGGGCTTGCCCGCCAGACCAGCCCGTTTGGGACTGCAGTCGCTGCTCGCTGCCCTTCGCCCGCCTTCGATGCCCCTCGCTGCCCGTGCTGGTTCCGCGGTCGCCTTCGCTCGCTGCCCTTCGTGGCCCCGTTGCTGCCCTCAGTGGCCCCGTCGCTGCCCACTGTGGCCCCGCATTATATGCCCTTCGTGGCCCCCGCTGGCAGTCGCCCGTCGTGGCCCCATACGCATGCGTTTCGTCGCCCCGCTGTCGCCCTTCGTGGCCCTCTCGCTGCCCTTCGTGGCCCCTTTGCTGCCCTCAGTGGCCCCGCTGTCACCCTTTTTGCCCCCATATACGAATGCCCTTCGTGGCCCAGGCTCGTTCGCGCCCTTCATGGCCCCATATTCATGCCCTTCGTGGCCCCGCTGTCGCCCTTCGTGGCCCCTTCTGTGCCCTTCATGGCCCCGTTGCTGCCCTCAGTGGCCCCGTCGCTGCCCTCTGTGGCCCCGCATTATATGCCCTTCGTGGCCCCCGCTCGCTCGCGCGTGGTCCCATACGCATGCGTTTCGTCGCCCCGCTGTCGCCCTTCGTGGCCCCCTCGCTGCCCTTCGTGGCCCACTTTGCTGCCCTCAGTGGCCCCGCTGTCGCCCTTTCTGGCCCCATATATGTATGCCCTTCGTGGCCCCCGCTCGTTCGCGCCCGTCGTGGCCCCATATGCATGCCCTTCGTGGCCCCGCTGTCGCCCTTTGTGGCCCCCTCTCTGCCCTTCGTGGCCCCGTTGCTGCCCTCAGCGGCCCCGTCGCTGCCCTCTGCGGCCCCCGATTCGCATGCCCTTCGGGGCCCTGCCGTTCTGTCGTTCGCCCTCCGCGCTGGTGCCTGGCGCAGTCCGTGGGCGTCGGGGGCCCAGCGCGTAAAAAGAAACCCTTGTTCGGCCGGGTCTCAGGGTCGGCCGGGTTTCGGGGGTCCGCATCCTCCTCGTCCTCCGCGCTCTCTCTTTCTCTCTTTCTTTCTCTCTCTCTCTCTCTCTTTTCTCCCTCTCTCTCTCTCTCTCTCTTTTTTTTTCCTCTCTCTCTCTCTCTCTTTTTTTTGTTTTCTCTCTCTCTCTCTCTCTTTCTATCTCTTCTCTCTCTCTCTCTCTCTTTCTCTCTTTCTCTCTCCTTTCGCAGCTGTCCCTCCCGTCCCTCCGTCCCTCCCCGCTCCCTCCCCCCACCTCCCTCCCTCCCTCCCTCCCTCACCTTATCGTCATTGTCGTCGTCGTCGTCGTCGTCCCGGGCCGCCCCCCTTGGGGCCCACTTGCCGCCTGGAGCCCGGCACTCCGACCCTTCAGCCAGCCAGGCCGCGGCCGCGGCCCCGGCCGCCAGGCAGGCCGCGCGGACTATCGCGATAATCCGCGCGACTGCTTCGCCGCCTGCCGAGGGCCAGCTTGTCGGCCCTTCGGCCACCACCCTCCTCCCTCTCCTCCTTCCCTTCCTCCCTCCTTCCCTCCTTCCCTCCCTTCCTCCTCCTCCTCCTCCTCCTCCTCCTCCTCCTCCTCCTCCTCCTCCTCCTCCTCCTCCTCCCTCCTCCTCTTGCTCCTCGCCCCTCCTCTCGTCGTGG